GATGAGAGAGAATCATTGATTGACTGCCTTCTGCACGTCCCCTACTGGGGTTCGAGCTGCAACCTGGGTATGTGCCCTTGACCGGAATCAAACCAGGCTGACACTCTATCCACTGAGCCAAATCGGCTAGCGCTCTCTTTTTCTTTTTTAAAGCCATTTGAATTACCACCTTTTGGAACAGGTGCTGTTTGCTTAAATGTGAGAGAATGCCCTTTCTAAATTATTGTAAGGGGACCCATTCAATGATCATTTTGAAAATCTTATTTCTGATTTCTCTTCTGTTGACAGAGGAGAACAGAGCTTGGCAGAAATATGATGAGAGGAACTTTTCCATCAGAAAATAAATAAATACCTATATACCTAACCTACCTACCTAAATAAATAAATAATGAAGAGATACCAGTTAGGATGATGTGGGCTGACTCATCTGGCTTCAACAATAAAGCACATATATTAATTCACATAAAAGGGCATCCTAATTAAGATGGCTTCAGAGTTGTTAATTTCAAGGACCCATGCCAGAGCCTCGCATTATTAAGCGTTGCTGTCTTTAGCCTGTCAGTTTTGTCCATAAAATGGCCACAGAATTCCCAGGTACCACATTCAGGCAAGAAAAGATCTAGTAGAACAAGAGATAGTCTTTTTTTGTGAGTCTTTTTTAAGGCGAAGAAATTTGTCCGAAAGCTACCCAGCAGACTTGCCCTTAGGTCTCAAAGTCTCCGTGGCCAAGGCTGTGAGACCTGTTCATGCCTAAAGTGATGGAGAGGGAACCCCCAAACCTAAAAATCAGGCCTTCCTGGTGCGACTGGAACTCCCTACCTGAAAGAGAGGATTCCTGAACGAAGTCCTTGTTTGGTTAACAAGAAAGTGGGTAATGGATGCTGAGTATGGAAAAGGTCTAATATTCGGGGCAAAAAAAGTCTAACATTGTGTTTGTACAATGGATTCTCTTGGTTAACCCTTATAGTAAAGTAATGAGAATAAAATGGACATTGTTATTCCCATCTTACTCATGATGAACCTGAGGAACAGAGAAGCTAATTAAATTGTTACAGGTCACACAAGAGTAAGTGACAGCATTATTATTCTAACTCACATCTGCCTGACCTCCAAGGCCATTTCTTTTTCCATATGACATAGGTATCAAAGTTGTAGTTATCTGTCAACATGACCTTTTTTATAATCTTCCTGATAAATTATCTTAGTTCCTAGTACATCGTAAGACTATTACCTATGATCATCTTACACAAATGTAATCACAGTATGCATGGTGTTTTATGACCTGCTTTAAAGAATACTTGCTACTAGCCTTGGCCAGGCTGCTCAGTTGGTTAGAGCATCATCCCGATACGCCAAGGTTGTGGGTTTGATCTCCGGTTAGGGCATATAAGATACAACCAGTGAATGCACAAGTACATAGAACAACAAATCAATGTCTCTCTCTCTCTCTCTCTTTCTCAAATAAATAAATAAATAGTTAAAAAATAGTCCTGGGCCCACCTGGTGTGGCCCAGTAATTGAACGTTGACCTATGAACCAGGAGGTCATGGTTCAATTCCTGGTTAGGGCATGTCTCATGACTGGGGTTGTGGGCTTGATCCCCAGTGTGGGGTGTGCAGGAGGCAGCCTATCAGTGATTCTCTCTCATCATTGATGTTTCTATCTCTCTCTCCCTCTTCCTTCTTCTCTGAAATCAATACAAATATGTACTTTTTTAAATTAAAAAAAAGAATACTTGCCAATCTGATGAGTGAAAAATGAACCTTGTATTTTATTTGCTAGAGTTTCAGAAGCCCTAATAATCTATTCTCTACCCCATAACCAAAGGGGTCCTTTAGAAATGTAAGTCAAATCATGTCTTTCCTTTTGCTCAAAATTTCCAGTGGTTTCTCTCTCATCTCAGAGTAAAAATAAAAATCAAAGTCCCTATAATTGCTTTTGAGGAGTTATAGGGACAGTTACCTCTCTGATAGCAATTGCTACTACTATCTTTTACACTCACCCACTTCAGACACACTGGCTTCTTCTTTAACCCTCACCCTAGGATATGTTCTCTGATTTCAGAGAGAGGAAGGGGAGAGAGTGAGAAACACTGATGGTAGAGAGAAACATCGATGGGTTGCCTCCCATACATACCCTGATGGGGGATCAAACCCACAACCTAGGTATATGCCTTGCCCGGGAATTGAACCCACAACCCTTTGGTGCATGGGATGATGCTCCAACCAACTTAGCCACATGACCCGGACCACACTGGCTTCTTTGCTCTTATTTGAACAGAACAGGACACTCCTGCCTCAGGACCTTTGCACTTGCTGTTTCCTCTGCCTGACAGGCTTTCCCATGGACAACTGCATGGCCAGCTCTCTTACCTCCTATACATCTTTGAAAAGTTACCTTCTTTTTTTTTTTAAATTTTTTATTTTATTGATTTTTTTACAGAGAGGAAGGGAGAAGGAGAGGGATAGAGAGTTAGAAACATCGAGAGGAACATTGATTGATTCAGCTGCTTCCTGCCCACTCCCTACTGGGGATGTGCCCGCAACCAAGGTACATGCCCTTGATCGGAATTGAACCTGGGACCCTTCAGTTTGCAGGCCTACGCTCTATCCACTGAGCCAAACTGGTCAGGGCGAAAAGTTACCTTCTTAATGAGAGCTTCAATAACCAATCTATATAAAACATTCTTTATCTTTTTTCCATGATTTTTGTGAGAGTATTTAGTGCCTTCCAACATACTATATAATTCCCTTATTCATTTTGCCTGTTCCCCTCCAACCCACACTACAATATATGCCAAGCATTTTTATGTATTTTGACTAGTGATGTATCCCTTGTGCTGAGAGCAGTGTCTGGTAGATAGTGTGTGCTCAATAACTATTTGTTGACTGAGTGACTGTTTTAATGTATAAATGACTGGTAAGTTATGGTTCTCCTTTTATGAATGAATTGTCATATCCTTTGGTTACTTTTTTATTAGGTGTTCTAAGTTTTTATTGATTTGTATAAACTCTTTATATTTTGAGGATATCAATTTTATTACATATTCCCCTCAGTTTTTTTCTCCTGTCTTTTACCAATGTGTGTAGGCAGTGTGTTAAAAGTACATAAACTTTTCCAGTCAAATCTAGAAATATTTTCCTTTTTGATACTGTGTTTTATAAGGACAAGTTGACAAAAGAAAAAGTTTACTTCTCAATATTTTTAGTCAAAAGGTGAGCAGTGCCTAATTTTTTCCTACATTTATTATATTTGAATTTCTTCTATTTGCAGATGATTTAAACTTGTTAATATGTAATCACATTTATACAATTATTTTTCTCCTGGGTGGTTTATCTAGTAAGCAAGAAGGATAAACTGTTACTAAGGCCTTCCCTTTTACTTTAAGGAAAATAATTTGGTGTACAGGATGATTAAAATTATAAAGCATTTATGTTTATAATATTTGCATATATTTATTGTTTTAAATATATTCTCCATTCAAAGAAAAGGTTACTAGCCTATGAATCTAAACCATTAGCCTTTTGTGTCACTGGAACATTTATGATAATTGAGCCCACATATAAATTCTATTCTGTGTTTGACAGTAAGTCCTTTCAAAACTGAACTTGGTTGCATACATTTATTTATCCCACTCCTTCCCTGAATTTTAAATATTAAACATGTCTACTAGTTTAATGTGACATTTTGAATTTTTACAAGTATTAATTTCATGAACCAAATTTTAAATTTGTAATATTTAAAATTAAGAATACTATCAGAAAAATATAGAAATATGATGATTATGCTGCTTTTAGAATGCCAGTTCTTTCTTTATGTTGTTTAAAAGCAGTGCTTCGACTTCATTATCAATTATGCCTTTTTAAAAACAAGTATTTTTTTATTGACTTCTGAGAGGAATGGAAAGGGAGAGAGAGAAACATCAATGATGAGAGGGGATTATGGATTGGCTGCCTCCTGCACGCCCCCCACTGGGGATGGAGCCTGCAACCTGGGCATGTGCTCTTGACTGGAATCGAACCCTGGACCCTTCAGTCCATAGGCCAACGTTCTATCCACTGAGCCAGATCAGTCAGGGCACCTATGCATTACTCTTAAATTCAAGTATTTAATAAGAATTACTTAATAAAATAATGAAAACCAAATCTACAAAAGTAAACCATCTTATCCCCTTGTACTAGGTTATGTGCATGGCATACACAGGGATCAGCTTAGGCTGTGCAAACCAATGTGGGATTAGAATTCCTGGTTTCTAATTATTCAGTAGCTGTGTGGCTGGTGTGGGGGAGAAAAAGTACTTTTCCTTCTATCCTTCTAAGTTCTTCTAGACTGGGCTAATTGTTGTCATGTACCCCGCGAATCACAGAAGGACGCCTCAAGAAGTCGAATTAAAGAGTCACATTTATTGCAATCCGGGACTATGAGGGGCCATTCCCCAAATCTCATAGTGATAAGATGGTGGCAAAACCAGACTTATATAGGCAAAGATCACAAAGGTATTGATTACATCTCAAGGTTTGGAATGAGGAACCTGGTTTGCAAAAAAGCAGTTTACAGAAGCAGAATTAAGCATGTTAATTATAGTTTTGGGTCACAGGGTCACTGAATTGACAGAAACACCTTATCTAGAGCCCTTGGGTCTTGAGACCACCGAGTTGCCAGGAACTCATTATCTAGAGCCATCGAGGTAATTTAGAGTAATTGCGCTGTCCTGGTCTTGGGACCACTGAGTCAACTGGAACGCATTATCTGTGGCCACTAAAACAGTTTAGGATAATTGTGCTGTCCTGTTTCCCAGGTACAGAAGATGTGCTTTCTAAAACCAGTAAGAAAACAATCAATGGGATAGTCATTCAATCGAATGGGATGATGTATACAATTCAGAAAATCAAAATAACTTTTCTATTGTTAAGCCAAACAGCAGGGTTAGAGTTAAACTAGTTTCTACCTGAGATGGTTGCTACCATACTTCACAATGATCACATTAACATGAGACAAACTAACGGGAGAAAATGAGCAAATTTATTACATATGTACATATGAATGTTCCAATAGACTATGGGTGCAAGACAGGTTGAAGGTTTTTCAGCTTAAAATAATACCTAGATGCCGAAACCGGTTTGGCTCAGTGGATAGAGCGTCGGACTGCGGACTGAAGGGTCCCAGGTTCGATTCCCGTCAAGGGCATGTACCTGGGTTGCGGGCACATCCCCAGTGGGGAGTGTGCAGGAGGCAGCTGGTCGATGTTTCTCTCTCATTGATGTTTCTAACTCTCTATCTCTCTCCTTTCTTCTCTGTAAAAAATCAATAAAATATATTTAAAAAATAAAATAAAATAATACCTAGAAAAGGTCACATTTTGGATTGGTAAACTCCGCTTCCTCTCCCTAGGAAGAGCCTTTAATGTCGCAGAATCTGTAAAATGGGCTGCCAGTGCAAGGCCTGCCCGCTGGAGTTGCTGTGAATCGGCTGGGGCCATAGTCCAGTTTACAAGCCGGATGTGTGGGGAACTGAGGGCGGGAGAGCAGGTTGTGGGCCTCCTTTCCGCCGGGGCTAGCATGACTCTCGAGCCCCGGCCCCCCTTCCCATTCTCCCCAGACCAGCTCTCCCACCCACTAGTCCGCAAAGGACCTCGGCGGACCAGGGACCCGGCAGAGGACCTAGAAGGGTCTCTGAAGAACTTCAGGCCAGAAGAGGCCCAGCCCTGCCACCTGCAGCTACTTTTCTCTTAGGCCTCAGCTGCTGGAGGGGTAAACTGAGCATGAAATAGTTAATTTCTAGCTTATAAAGTTGTTCTTAGGATTAGAGCTATGCAAGAAAGGTTGGCTACAACAGGTGAAAATTTTGTTTCCTCACCCCTCTGTCCCTCCTAAGGCCTGTTTTACCATATCAGTGCCGAGGCTTCCAGAAACCTCCTTTCAATCAGAATCCCGCAAGGAAACTAGTGTTATTTAAATCAACCCAGTAAGAGAAAGATGTGACCGACAGGCACCGTACCTCTGGTGTCTTGGAGGAAAAATTTGCATTTTAAAAGAGGATTACCTGACTGGAAGGATTTCAGAAAATATGGGACTTTTTTGTAGGACAGTGAATAGAATTCCCTCAACTCTTCACCCCCTCCTCACGCCCCCATTGAAACCATGCCTTGTCGGTTTTAAGCGGGACTTTTAAAAAGCACGTTTAATTAATAAACTCGAATTACAGACCTAGTTCATCCCCCCGCTCCCCCCTCCCCGCCCAAGCACTCCTCTCCCACCCCCGCCTTTTGCACCGAGCGGCTTCTGCGATCATAATGACCTTGGCTGTCCTCATCTGGGAATGAACCCTCGCTAGAAAGACCCGAAGCTCAACGGAACTAACAGGATGTTTTCATTTGAATAAACTCAACCCA